GTGCATTGTGGGTAGTTTCTCAGATCCTGCTCATGGGCCATCTTCTTTTCTGTTTCAGAGCTTTATCGGTTATTTTTGTGGATGTTGTTAGGAAAGCTTTTGTATATTGTTGATTTTGCGGTTTTATTTCTGTTCTGATGTCATGTCGGACGGACGCTTCGTCTCGCGTCTCGCTCGGAGTGTAAAGCCCAAACGCACCCAAATTGGACGATTTTTCAGTCTGACCAATCCAATAACTGTCATGTGATCGTCTGAGAGACGGGTGCGAGTCTGTGATGAAGAGCACCATCATCTGTTCATCGCGTCTCGCTCCTCCCTCTTTTCCTTTATAGAGCTTGTCATTTTCTTTTGTTTTGTTTATTTTTGGCTTTATGTTTTTGGAAAAATACTAAAGTGCAACAATGGTTAAAAAAGATTCCAAACAAACTGAGAGAAATAATAAATATATATATAAATAAAGAAATGACTATGACAGAGGTGTGTGTGTTCCTTCAGCGGCAGTACCGCGGTATGGCATGGTAATACTGTGCTACACAACCAGAAACACCTTCGCCGTGCTCGTTTATGAAGCACTTCAGCTAATGTAACTCACCGGACTGCAGCTGCTCTATTAGTGATGAATTTTCAACACTCTTATTTTCCTGTATTTTGCTGCTTTGGAGCAATCTGTGCTGTATAAAGCGCTACAGAAATAATAAGTCCATGTTAGCGCTGAGGCGCCTGCATGTGTTTCAGGCCAGAGCCAGCTAACAACAACAAGTTGTGAACGTGTTATTTCGGAGTTCTCTGAACATCCAGGTTTTGAAGCGTTTAGTTAGTCTGAGAGAACTTTAAGGGAACATTCCTTTCTACTGATTTGCAGACATTTTGAATGTTGTCTGAAAGTTCTGAAACAATTTGTAACATTTAAAGAAAGCGTTACATGAAAGTATTTGAAGGTGTGCTTGTTACAGTGTAATTATACATTTAAGCAGAGCTTAAGGGCTGGGCTTGCTTGTTTTTAATATGAAAAAGGTTCTATTAATGGCAAATATAAAAGCAAGGAAATGTGCATTCACGCTCAAACAAGCCTTTCAGCTGCGCTGCTGTTCTGGAGAGGACAGAAGAAGAAAGTTCTCTCTTCAGCAGCAACTAAATGAAACTCAAATCTTGTGTTTATCTCAGGTCTTTATTAGTACGGCTGAGTTAGATCATCGCAGGTCAGCTGCAGAGACACTGGTTAATAAAATGGGATTAAATACATAAAGGATGTTTGTGTAATTTAACATTATTGCAGGTTTGCATCGTATTCTGAGTTTGCTTTTCACTGTTTTTATTGATTCAGAGGAACACTGAATGTGTTTGTGTGCAGTGAGATGAGTATTTGCTATATACATATGTTTATATTTAGTCTAGAACTACAAGTAAGCTTTCTGTCACCATGGCAACACCAGAGCTGTCACTCAACACATGGA